ATGTGTGTGTGTGTGTGTGTGTGTGTGTGAGATGGTGAGGTATGTAGTGTGTGTGTGATGATGAGGTATGAAGTATGTGTGTGTGTGTGTGTGTGTGTGATGGTGAGGTATGTAGTATGTGATGATGAGGTATGTAGTGTGTGTGATGGTGAGGTTGTAGTGTGTGTGTGATGGTGAGGTTGTAGTGTGTGTGTGATGGTGTGGTATGTAGTATGTGATGATGAGGTATGTAGTATGTGATGATGAGGTATGTAGTGTGTGTGATGGTGAGGTATGTAGTGTGCGTTATGGTGAACTATGTAGTGTGTGTGATGGTGAGGTATGTAGTGTGTGTGATGGTAAGGTATGTAGTGTGCGTGATGGTGAACTATGTAGTGTGTGTGATGGTGGGGTATGTAGTGTGTGATATGTAGTGTGTGTGTGATGGTGAGGTAGGTAGTGTGTGTTAGGCTTGCCGCGATAGACGGTGCTGACGGTTATACCGGTGTTAAGCCGCAACACCGGTTGTGTCACTTGCCCACCGTGGCACCGCCCTCACCGTCGTTTTGATTTTTTATAGTAATAAAAATTGTGTGTGATGGTGAGGTATGTAGTATGTGTGTGTGTGTGTGTGTGTGTGTGATGGTGAGGAATGCAGTGTGTGTGTGTGATGGTGAGGCATGTTGTGTGTGTGTGTGTGTGTTTGTGTGATGGTGAGGTATGTAGTATGTGTGTGTGTGTGTGTGTGTGTGGGTGAGGAATGCAGTGTCGCATCACAGGAGAGTGAACTGCCTGTCAGAAATGTAGTGTGTGTGTGTGATGGTGTGGTATGTAGTGCGTGTGTGATGGTAAGGTATGTAGTGTGTGTGTGTGATGGTGAGGTATATAGTATGTGATGGTGTGGTATGTAGTGTGTGTGATGGTGAGGTATGTAGTGTGTGTGATTGTGTGGTATGTAGTGTGTGTGATGGTGAGGTAAACATCTTTCACAAACATCTACATGTCTGTCTCTTTTAAAGTGTTAGTGTGTATATAATGAGTTGGATTTGTAGGGGTTATTATAGCACAATTCTTAACCCCACCCAGACCTCACTCATTTTCAAACCCTGGTTACGGCCATGCCATGCTTATCTGGGGTTATAGTGTGTGTGTGTGTGTGTGTGTGTGTGTGTGTGATGGGTGTGATGGTAGTATGTGATGGTGTGGTATGTAGTGTGTGTGATGGTGAGGTATGTAGTGTGTGTGTGTGGTGTGTGTGGTGTGTGTGTGTGTGTGATGGTGAGGTATGTAGTGTGTGTGTGTGTGATGGTGAGGTATGTGAGGTATGATGGTGAGGTATGTAGTGTGTGTGTGTGTGATGGTGAGGTATGTAGTGTGTGTGTGTGTGATGGTGAGGTATGTAGTGTGTGTGTGTGTGTGTGTGTG